GGGAAAGAGAAGAGATTAACAGTTTGCAGACTCAGGGATACTCTGCGCTCTCTGCAAATCCATTCATACCATCAAGTTTGTCTTCCTGAAAGAGTTAAGTTTCTACGGTGCCACTCTGCCTTATTTTCTGCTTGACTTCAAACTAACCTGGCTAGCTACCTCTTTCTACTCTTTAAACTCCCAGGTCAAGCTTCCATAGGGTCAGTATGAAGGGGAGAACATGGAATAGAGACAGTTTTTCCAGTTATACTACATTGTAGTTACTAAATTCAATGAATAAATAGAAATATTATCTTCAGGACTCAGACTGATATTTTGTGTGCATCTCAGTCACTAATTTAAAACAACTATATCTATGATGATAACACTGGCAGCTGTTGCACTGAAGTTTTGTAACTAGTGGATCATTAACATGGCATCTGCATTATAAAACCCTGTTATCATGAAAATGCAAAGTGAAGTTCAAGGCTTTCTACAGGCCAAACACTGATCAAAACATTTGATCTCATTCAGTACAGAATTAAGCACAGAAACTTGTTTTTATTCAATTGTCATTAAACAGAGAATGCACCTGATTAAAGGAGATGACTAACACAAAAAATGAAGCTCTCATCCCCAACACATGGTTTTCATTACTGGTCTCACTGTACTATGACTAGTCACTATGAATGATTAGTGTCAAACCTAGAGATTAAATAACTTCAGACATAAAATTTAAGTATAATCCTCATGTTTAGTAAAATGTGTCCATATTTAATTACTCAAACTGGGAGGAACCAGGGTTTTGTACAAGAGGGAAATCAGATGGCCTCACCTAGTGGTTTATTGTAAAGTATTGTACCACTGCACAAATACTTTCCATTATCATTTCCAGTAGGCACTGTACAAGCAGATAAAAGAAAAAGAAAGAAAGAATCATGGTAAAAATATTAAGTGAATTTAAAAAAATATATCCTATTTATGCCTTAAATTCTAATACTAAAATATTTGACACTGAGCCTTCAGTAGTTCTAGTGCACATAAGGTTGCCTGTGAACCTTGAGAGAATACCAGTCCAAATATTTTGAAGCTTCTGAATTACAAGAGAAACTGAAGTAGTTCAGGGACTTGGTACAGAAAAATTACACTGTAGAATGAAGGATATCGAACACATTTTATCATATTAGGCTGACTGGTAGAAATAGATTGACAAAGGCAGGAGCACTCACCTCCACATTCTCAGGGTGAAAACAAAGCAGAAAAGGCAATGGTCCTATCCAAAGTTTTACCAATGGTTCATTCTTGAGTTGTTCAAAATAGAAGATTATTTGTTTAAAGAAATCTGTAAAAGAGAAATCTATTGGAATAGGCCAAAGACAAAATTTTTGTATATAATTCATGATGAGTTCAATATAGCTTTATCTTTGCTAATTTAGCAAAGGAGGGTTATTTTACATAACTTTTGTTAGACTCAGAACGAGTTTACCCAGCACACACAAGTGTAGCACTCAGGGTTCCAGCACCTGAACCAGTGCACTGAAGTGGCGCCTGTAGCATGGGCCTGAGGGAAGCAGATCGTAGATCTACCCTAGGCCCTGGCCCTGCGCTGTTACCTCCCCACAATCCCAGCCCCGCCCACCCCTTCGTCTCCCAGATGCCTCTCCCCTCTGCCCACCACCCCATCCCATCCTCCCACTCAAACGTGCCCTACTCACAAGGGATGGGTTCAATGGCACCCCCTCCTCCCTCTGCCATGCGGGCCCAGGTCAGCACTCCGCCCCTCCCCCCCTCCCCAGCCTGCAACAGGTGCAAAGTTTCTAACATGGCCTTCCAGCCAAAATCATCGCCCACCCCTGATTTACTGTCTCTCACAATATAAGAATTAGAAATCACAAAATGAAACTAATAGGGAGTAAGTTTAAAACTAATAAAATGAAGATCTTTTTACAGAGCAAGTAATTAAAGTATGCGATTCATTGCCACAAGACACTGCTGAAGAGGACACTTTAGCCAGATTTGAAAAGGGACTGGATAATTTCTTGGAGGAAAGGGGCATCAGTAGCTATTGAGCATGGGAGTTGGGGGTACAGCCTCTGAATCAGAGGTTCCTAGACTTTAAGTGCCAGAGGCTGCTAGTGGGTAACTCTCCCTTTCAGCATTGACTTTCTACCATTGTGACGCAGGATACCGCGGTGCAAGAGGGACCTATGGTCTGATGGAGAAAACAGCAGTTCTTATGTCAAGGTTGAAAAGGCCCTTTCAGTTTGTCTGATTTCTCTTAGCGTGTTCCAAAGAGCACGGTGCTTTCATAGCACCACAAATGCCACTTCAGGTTTTCAAATTCAGTACAGCAAACACTTCCAGAGTTTGTTCTGCCTTTGCACTAACCCAGCAGAAGGTCAGCTGGTGGCAACCTGGGATGGCTCAGCTGACCTCTGTGCTCAAGTTCTGGGCAATGTCCATTTAGTCAGGACTACACACTGCACACAAGTACACACTGTGCTTGAGCCGCTTAAGCGTAGACCAGTGTTAGTGCTAGCTCAAGTTCGGGGCAGTTTTAAGGCTAAAAACCTTCTCCAACTGTTCCCCACCTGCCCAGCTGTGACCTGCCACTAGAGGGCTGCCAACCACAACCCTAACTAGGAGCTACAGCTGTGAGTTGCCACTACAGGGCTGGTGAACCAGGACAGGCGTCTATCCCTGCCCCGGGAGGGGCCACAATAACATGATGCTGGGAGGCAGAGTTAATAGGATGGGGCTGAGTAATGAAATGGGAGGTGGAAAGGAAAAGGGGGTGGGGGAAGGGTGGTGAAGTGAAGGATGTCAGCCACAAAAAGAAGCTAAAAAAAAAAAAGACATTCAAAAGAAATAAAGAGGAAGTAAAATAAAGAATGTCGCATGTTTTAATGAATTAGGATTTGAGATTGGGGGAGGGATGGGCTGGTCGTGCTTCCTGGGGAGGTGGAAGCAGTGATGGAGGGCACTTCTGGGAGAGCTGCTGCCCCTGTTGGGGGAAAGAAGCCCCAGCTCCGAGGGGCACAGTTTGGCCCCTTCTCTTGCTGCTGCCCCTCCCCACACCTCACGCCTGGACCCACGCGTGTCCTATGCATGCACGGGCCCATGCAGCCTGTTGGCAGCACCGTACCTAGACTCCTGGCGCCCCCGGGGAACCTTTTAGTATCAGGCCCCCCTTCGCCAGAGAGAATGATCATCATTATTTTCACTGTTTTCTGGCCCCCTTTGTGTCCAGCCGCCCGGCTAGCCGGTGCCTGTGCCCGGGCCTGCCTGTCTGCAAGGGGGCGCAGCGCTGGGCTGGGCAGGTCACAGCCCGGGGGCAGCTGGCTCCGTGCCAGCACCACCCCCACCCCCCAGTTCAGGGGTGCAGTTTGTCCATGCAGACAGGAGAGTGGGGAGGAGGACACTGCACCCTGGGGTGCTGGAGGGCTGCCGCGTGGGCGGCCTCACATAACGGGACGGAGGCGGCCCCAGAGATTTCAAGCGCCGGCCCTTCCCCGCAGCGAGCAGCGCCCGAGGGCCGGGCCGGGCTCCTACCTTCCCCCTTGGGCTCGAAGAGCAGCGCGTTGCCCA